GGAGCAGTGATTATCTTTATCTGAGCTCGTTGCTGGTCTGCCACGATACATGAAAGAGAATAAACTCGGGCTGACCAAATTTTAGGTAGTCTGTGCTATTACCAGCTGCATACATTTTCATGTCAGGACTTGAATGTCTTTAAAACCCAGAACTTTTCATGAATATTTACTAAAATATGCATTTTCTGCCTTCCAGTTTCCATTCCTTTAAAGCCATGCTTTTGTTGTCCTATGCAAAAAGCAGAAAAATACTATTTATTTAGCAAAGACTGAGGTTGTCGTATGATCCCCTATGTAATAATTTGGGATTAAAGCATACGCAAAATGACAAATAACAAAAATAGATACTGGGCTTGCAGAGTTGCAGGATTGAGCTAGGGGTTTATGATACATTGACAAGGGCTTAGGGATTAATATAGTTAATTTTGATTTTTATAGTTGTTTTTCCTGTAGTTGAAACCTTGATTCTTGATGCAGTTGCTATTTCCGACGTATGTGTTTTACTAGTTCAAGAGGTTCGGGGCCCGTGTGCTGTGGGGACAGGAAGCAGAGAGCTGAAATTGTGCTTGGAAGAAGAAATAATTCATCTTAAAACTGGGCTGGACAAAGGTCGTGTCAGCAGTGTTTGTGGGGGGTTTGTTTTAGTATGTTTTTTCCCTTTTTCCGTTTTTTTACTGTCCCCCTTTTTGCTTGTTCATTCTTTCCAAAGTTTTCCTTTACCGCTGACTTTTTTCCATTGTTTTTTCCTCCTTGCTGCTTTTGCCCAGGCAGACTTTGAGCTGGAGCAGCACCTTTCTTCTGTTAATACGCAGGTGGCTGTGCCAGCCCCTGCCTGCCCGGGTGATAGGTTTGGGTGCTGGGGCTCTCGGGTAGGATCCAGGGCTGGTGTTCCTCCTTCCCTGCCCCAGGAAGGTGGATAAGGGCAGCCTGCCCTTACAGACCCCAGCCCTGGGGACTCTGCAGACCGCTGCTTGGACAATCCCATGCCTTTGCCATCGGATGGTGTTTTTTTTTCCCCTTAGTCTCTGCTTTAAACCTGCAATTCAGAGCAATTATCTCTTGCCTGTCCGGCACACAGCTGTTTTCTGCACACTTGGAGCATTTACTCCAAGTCTCTTCCTTCTCAGCCGAGATAATTTCAGTCCTGACACTGTGTTCTCATGGCTCAGGTGCTTTAGATCTGACTCTTCCGGTCTTCTGCACCGATCTTCCTTTTTGGCTTGCAGGCGATAGCCCTGTTTGTGCATCTTGGCAGTTTTTGCCTGTGTCCGGACTGCTGGTTCTCGACCCACTGAAAACTTGGTCTTTTTCATATTGTTTTTCTTTTTCTGTTTTTGCCTTTAACAAACTACTGCTTATTTCCTATCCTGGATGGCAACAGCCAAATATTGAAGTGTAGCGCTTGTTTCTAATAAATTTTATCCTGTTATTTCCACCCTCCTGCAGTTTGCCAGCATGGTTTGAGTTCTCTCTCTCTGTCCTTGGTGTGATTGCAGCCTCCAAAGCTGACACCACCAAGTTCTGTAAGCCCCTTCTCTAGTCCATCATCAGCGCAAGCAGCGAGTGGCACTGGATAGACAGGGCCTTCTTGAGCCAATCCTTCTCTTTTGCTGCTGAATCACGGATAACGGCCCTTGGCGTGTCCTTGCCCCCAGCCTGTTGCAGATTAACCCAGGCACATGCCTCGTCTTGCCTATGGGAACACTGACAGTGTCTGCGTGGAAGCCCTGGCCAAGAGGTTAAAAAGCTCGTACCGAGCAGAGCCGTACAAAGCAATTTGCAGAAGCTTTCAGAGGGATGTGGTACATCCCGTATTTCCAGCTGGCCGCGGGGCCGGCTTTGCCCCATGCCCGCACCCCGGCTGTGATGGGGGAGCTCAGCTGCTGCTGGGTTCATGGAGTTTCTGGCTGGGCTTTAGCCGAGTCACATTTTCCTTCTCGAGCCCATAATCTGGCTCTAATCTCACCAGGGGGAATCTTGCTGCTGTGACTGACTCATGTCCAACTGTGTTTGGACTTGGCTTTATCCCGGGACTCGTCTGTGCCAGCTGTGAAAACAGCTTTAGCTTGAAAAAAACTAAAATAATAAAAAATCCTGAGTTATGCAGCCCTGCTGCGGGCCTTAGCAAAGAGTCGTTGCATACACTGGTTAATTGTTTATCCATTAACCAACTGCATCAATTAATCTGACAAGAGGAGCCTGGCTGTACCTGGCACGGCAGGGAGGGAGGAGGAGGAGGGAGGATGCACATCCTCCCTGTGTTGGCTCCTGTCCTCGTGCTCTTCCTCCAACCCTGTCTGTGGTATTTGTCTGCTGGTTTCCTTCGAGTGTAATTGCTGGCAGGGCATGTACAAAGTGCGTTTGGGCTTGTCTTCTCTTCAACCGTGCAAACCTCTTCGTTTGGAAAGTGCGTTAAGCTTCCACGAAGCAAGAGCATCTCTTCAGAGTTTAAAAAAAAATAATAAAAAATAAACTGTATTTTGTCCCCAAACGTGAATATAGACAGAAGAAATACAAAGCAAGATGCTGCTTTATTTCCAACTAGAGATGACTAAAAAAAATACTTTGAGGAGTGCTGAATGGGAAATAAAATAGAATTTTATTGTAGGTATGGGTGCAGAGCGGGGAAGCGCCGTAGGGCAGCTCTGGGCTCCCCCTTGCCACCCCTTGCGGCTATTTTGGAAGGACTGATAGCATGGCCTCCCTCCCAAGAGTACCATTTATTTTTGCCTGCTTTCTGGGGAGAAAAATCAAACATCCGATGCCAGTCTGTATCTGGCAGAATGACTTCAGTGCCAGAAGAAAATAAAAACGAACCTTAACGCTGAGTAATTAGTCCCCTGCAGCGTGTCGGTAGTAGTAGGCAGAGCTAATGCCAAATCGTGGCTGCGGGGAGGATGCTCAGACTTGGTGGAGCAGTGGGTGATGTGGTGGCTTGATGGTCCCACGTTTCAGTGTCTCTCTGTCTGTGAGGGTTAACACAAATTCCTTTTCTTGCCCTTCCCGGCCAGATGGAGAATGAGGAACGTGGGGATCTACTTGTGTGGGTTTGTGTTTGAGTTATTCAGGCGGATGTCTTGAAGTGGCACATCGGTTCAACAAGTCCCCTGGTCTGGTCCTGAAGTGGTGGCACTCCCAGCCACCGCTGGAAGGTGGCAAAGCCACCAAGACCCTCGGAGCCCTCGCTTCCACCGTGAAGCTGTTGTTTCTTCATTTACTCTGGTATCAGAGATAGACCCAGTTTTTCTTGATTCAAGTCTGTGTTCAAATGGATTTTTTTTTTTTTTTTTTTTTTCCTGAAGGCAGCTGATTTTAGCATGTTTTTGGGCTTACGTGATATCAGCCTTATGTAGTAATAAAATTATGTACTTGTTTCAAGAAGAAACAATAATAAATAATGTTCTTTCAAAAGCAGCTAAACACATGAATTTTTAAAATGTTAAATTATTTCCAAATTACGGCATATCCAGTTCTTTCTGTGGAGCTCGCTCAAGAATAATTGCACAGTGTTCTTTGCACAATTTAACATCAGAAATGTCGCACTTTTTTCTTTTTTTTTTTTTTTATTTTTTAAGTCGTTCTTTCCCACAATGTAAGAGCTTCCACGAGTATAAATGGGCATCCTTGTGTCAGCTTCTGTAAAGCGCTGCCAGTTTGTCCCTTCTAGATATGTTCAGTGTAGCTGTGGAGCTGTGACGTTTATGGCAGAGCAGAACAAAGATCGAACAGGCTTTTTGTGGTGGAGACGCCCGGGAGCTGGAGCTTGGCTGTGTGCAGGGAGCAGCAGCCGGGTCCACACCCCTGCCAGGAGTTGCAGAGCCTGGAAAACAGGGAAGAAGACACTTTGCAAATCCCCACAACTGCTGAAAGCTTGCGTCAGCGTTCGTGGACGTGCCTCACATCTTGATATTTTTTTTTTTTCTTTTCTATTTTCTTCTTCCTTCCCTGTTTCTGTCCTGACTCAGGCTCCGGGAATGGGTGGGTGGGGATGAAGGTGGGAAGCACTGTAGTTGTCAGTGCCCAAACATCTCTGAGTGCTGCTGCCTGACCGCCCTGAGCAGTGACAGCCTTCTCCATGCTCGCTGTCTCTGTTATGGAGGTGTGAAGGGCCGGTCCCCTGCAGCCCCCGGGGCTGTATATGGAATGCGAGTTCCCTGGAGGGCTCTTGGAGTGGTGAGGACAAGCTGCAGCATCCACCCGTGTTGCTGCCAGGCTTTCCGTGGGCATCGGAGTGCCCCTGACCCCTCTCCATGGATGAGAGTTCTTGTGGCTGTGACTTTTGAGCCTTTGGAGAGGATGGAGCCACGGGAGAGCACAAGACATAGAGGAAATGTGAATAATGCCGGGAGTTTATATCACTAATTTGATCAAAGGAAGAACACTTAGCAAAACGCCTACTGATTTTCTGAGTGAGCTTTCTCTCCGTGCAGCCTAACCTGGGAAACGTGGCGGCATGAGAATTGTGTCTAGGATTTGGCCAGGCATTGGCACGGTTTGTGCTTTTTCTGGTGCGTCGGGGTTATTGCAGACATCGCCGAGATGACCAGGAGACTTGATGCAGAAGCTTCCTTGCTTTCTCTTTGAAATCAGTATGTGAAGGTAGTCCTGAGCCACAACCAACCCACTGCAGGTTTTTATGGCTGGAAAGTGAAATATTACGTATTTTCCATTTTAAAGTACAACCGGAGTATGTGAGTCCTGTGGTCATTGGCATGGAGGGAAATTCTCTCTTGTAGCCTGAAGCTACCTGTGCTTTTTCACCGCTCCCGCCGCTCTGGGCAGTGGTGTAGTGTAGCTGCAGGGCTGGGTGTTTTACGTGGGGTGCATAGGGTGGGAATGGACAGGGTGAATTTGGGTAAGGGGCTGGAGGGAAGACGGAGCCACACACTGCTGGGAGTTTCCCCGGGCCCTGCTATCTGAAGGTGTTGCAGAGGGAGGATGACAGCCCTGCTCCTTCCTCCTCCCCAGCCCCCCGCGGCTCCGGCGCACGGGTCCCTGGGATGTCACTGAGAACGGACAACCATGCAGCTACGTCGACGCTGAAGAAGGTCGCTGCAGACATGAGCAACATCATCGAGAGCCTGGACACCAGGGAGCTCCACTTCGAGGGGGACGAGGTCGACTCGGAGGTCCTAAATGACCCAAAAGGTGCCGGTGAGTTAACGCCCATGTGTTCTTACCCCACGTCCTGCCTGGGTTTAATAACCAATCGTCTGATAACAGATGGGATATAAACCTCAGTGGTTTTACCAAGCCCAACCGTTGGCCTTGTTTTGGGACTGGGGGGTGTTACTCATAGCATTTAAGCTCTTCAAGTCAAGTCCCTTCTGCGAAAGCTTGTCTTTAAGCTCTCTTAAATGGTATATTTTAGTGGGATTAATGCTGCTGTGTACGTGCTCCCGTGTTCAAGCGTTGCAGCTATCTGCTGGCTTTTGTGCTCTCATTGATTGTTACAAGGCTGTTGAGCTAACAGGGTTTGTGGTCCTTCCAGCGTGCATTCCCTTCTCTGCCATCTATCACACGCGTGGGTTCAAAGAGCCAGGCACACAGACGTACCTCACGGGATGTCCTATTCGAGTGCGCGTGTTGGAGGTCGAACGCTTTACTTCCACAAAGAAGGTAAGAGCTTCCAGAAGTTACATTTCATTTCAGTAGAGTGGCATTAAAACGCTGTTTGTGGGTTAATTTTGTGCATGCTTGTTCACAAGGCTTGAGCAACCTGGTGTAGTGAAGGGTGTCCCTGCCCATGGCAGTGGGGGTTGGAACTAGATGATCTTTGAGGTCCCTTCCAAGCCAAACCATTCTATGATTCCATGAGCTGAGCCCTTGCAGTGGTGATCTCCTGTGCAGGTACCAAGCCCCAACGTATACACCATCGAGCTGACCCATGGGGAGTTCACCTGGCAGGTGAAAAGGAAGTTCAAGCACTTCCAGGAGTTTCACAGGGAGCTGCTGAGGTACAAAGCCTTCGTGCGCATCCCTATCCCTACCAGGAGGTGAGTGTGCAGCCCTGCAGACATGGTGGGCTTCGGGAAGACATGATCTTCTTTTCTCTTCTAATAGTGTCTGTTTGGCTTCACCCATCCCGTTTAGTTTGCTGTAAGGAGGAGAGGGCAGAAGGATTTGGTCTCTACAAATATTACGCAGCTGTAATAAAAATATTTAATCTCTACCTATTTAGCAGCTATAACCAAGTGATGCAAACATCTCTCTGCTGATGCAGAAAGCACGTTGAGTCCCAGGTTATTGGCTTTTGAGCTGAATTGGCCTTGAACCTGGGGAATAGTTATGCTAATGAAAATTGTTGGCGCTATGCTGCTTTCTGCTGGCATGGGCTGGGTGTGGGAGGTGTGGGGGTCCCTGGCATGGGTGGTCAGCCCTGTCCAGGCTGGCTTTGCTGTGCGAGGTGGCTGGAATTGTAAGGGGAAAGAAAAGAGAAACGGGAAGAGAAGTGGTGTGTGCTGGCAAGAGCCCCCTAATGTGGAAAAGTGTGGGGAGATGATGTTAGGAAAGGTGAAATTATGAGGGATTAAGGGCTGGGGGGAACATAATGCCCTAAAAATAGGGTTTAGGTTCCCTTTCCTTAAAAGGGCACCCTGAAAAATGAAACTCTGATATTTCTGTGTTGTGTATTTTGTGAGCCAGTTAGAGCACGCTGGCTTCTTAAATGAATCCATACTGGCGCTTTTTTTTTTTTTCTTTCCTGCCCACCCATCTCTCAGTTTTTAAGAGTTTTGGATGGGAAAAATAAAAGCATTGCACAAGAAGGGTTACGGAGCGAGGCACGCATACAAACACAGCACTTAGACTCGATGTCAGGGTTTGTTTTTCCTTCCAGTCACACAGTGAGAAGACAATCCATCAAAAGGGGAGAACCGAGGCAGATGCCGAGTCTGCCGCACACTGCAGAAAGCACGGTGCGGGAAGAGCACTTCTCTAGCAGGAGGGTAAGTGCCTGGCTCGGTCTGGGGTCCACAGGGATGCTTTGGGGGGGCTTCTGAGGTGCAGATCTGCCAGGCAGATTGTTTGCAAAGCCACGTGCTCTCAAAGGCTTTGTTTTATTACCATTGAAGTCTTTTGCTTGACAAACTTAAGCTTTGACAAGTCCATCTTCAATGCCAGATTCTCCTCCATGCAAAGAGGAGGCTGCTGATCCCGGGGTTCACGCGGGTGAAGTTTTCCTCTGCAGTTGAGGAAAACCATGATGCTCAGAGCGGTGGTTCCCCTCCTCCCACCTGATCTGGTTTAAAGATAGAAAAGGCAGTTTGCAAAGTCAGGTTGTGTGATGGTGGCAGCTCCGCGGCTGTCAAAATCAGAGAGGTTTCAGTCCTGTCCCCCTCTGAAACAGGAGATGACAGTCAGACTCTTGATGCTGAAGTGGGTAATTTTAGCCGAGGCACACGTGTTCTGTGTAACTTCATCAGATGTTAACAGATGGGCCCTTCTGCGAAGAGGGTGGATGTCTTCCTACCTCTTCATTGCGGTTTTGCTGTTTGCACACACAAAAAAGTCTGTAAACCCCCCTGTTTGTTCACGCTGTGCTTACTGTTCTCTTTCTGCCCTTCACTCCCTCCCTGGGCTTTCTGCTGCTGAAGCCTCAGGTCTCAGAAGGTTTTGTCTCGTGGCTGTGCAGTGCAGGTAACCCTCCCTGCTGTCCACAGCTCCACTGTTGTGTGGGAGGGAAGTTTCAGAAGAGACATGTTGGTTTTAAAGGAAGAAAAATGTTAAATGTTTTCTAGATATTTTTTTTTTTTTCCTTTCTTGATTGCCTTGAGACATGTTGGTTTTAAAGGAAGAAAAATGTTTTCTAGATTTTTTTTTTTTTTTCCTTTCTTGATTTCCTTATGGGAATCCCACAGCTTTCACCATAGGGATGTATGTGCTCAGTGCTGTGATGCCAACACTGAGAAGGAGGAAGGTCCTGATGGCATTTGTTTTGTTTCCATTTGTTTTGTGTCCTGTAGGACTCTGCCCAGCTTCCCATGCCCAAACAGCTTAATCTCTTCTTTGCCCAGTTACCATGAGGATGGGAAGAGATTCTCTCTCCTTAATGGTTTCTTCTCTCCTCTCCTCCCAGCTGAGGACAGCAGGCAGTGGCCAGGCCACTGGTCACTCCATGGCTTTGGGACAGGGCAGTGTGGTCACCGTGCTCCTCACCCCATGAACCTGGTGTTTTGGATAAATAGGCGCTCTCAGTTGTGTCTGAGGCTGTGTTTTCTCACAAAGCTAATTCGTGTGGGTCAGAACGGTGGGGACTGATTTTGCATTAAAAATTGTTCTGCAACTTGGGCTCGGTCAAGAAAGTTGACCTCTAAAATGACAGTGCCAAGGAACAGGTCCGGGTGGACAGTTCAAACACAAATCTGTGAACAGTACAAACACAGCTCTGTGAACACTAAACAACCTGTGATCGAACTGTTTATGCTGCTGAGCCGTAATCTTCCCTGAGCAGCACGTAATAATGTATTTATTTATCCACTGAAGTTGAAACATGTGTCTGATTTCTTGATTGCTTCCTAATGCCAGACAGTTGGATTGCGGGATTTTTTTCTTGAAAATTCCTGCCTCTTATCGAAAGTTTCTATGTTTTAATTGTAGAAACAACTGGAAGACTACTTGACAAAGATCCTAAAAATGCCAATGTACAGGAACTACCATGGAACAGTAAGTAGAAATCAGTTTGCTTAAATGCCTAATGAATATTCACTTTACAAATGTTGAATTCATTGGAAGAAGACATGGAGCTTACATAAGAAACATTTTACAGCTGTTTTGCAAGCATTTTGGCTTAGCTGGTTTCTTCAACATGAATGTAATGTGATTAAAACCGAAGGAAGAGAGTGAATGACTTAGTCTTGGGGGTCTCTGTTATAACATAGTGATAACCTCCTGAAGGTAGTCCGGTCCAGAAAGCTGATGGTACATGTTTGATGTGGTGGGTTTCTGTTTAGTTCTGGGGAGTGTTTAAGATGACAAGTTGAAGTTTTAAATACTTAAACAATTGGAGTCCAAACCATATTCGTAATAGCTCCTTCAGTTTAGGCTTTGTGTGTGGTCCTAGGTGCAAACTTGTCTCAGGTTCCTGCTCTGCGCAGTTTCCCTGGGCACTGGTGACGCTGAGTTTGTTTGAGTGACACCCATTCACCTCTGTGGGTGTTTTGTGACTTCCGAAGGGAGATGGCAAGTGGCTTATTTCCCCAAGCCAATAGTCTTTTTGAAATGAGGAGAGACGTCAAATCCAACTTCAGGCTTATTTTAGGCAAAAATATTTCCTTTGAAAGCCACCCTTGAATGTTTCTTCAGTAGTCCTCACCTGTCAGCTGCAGCTGTAAGATCTCCCTGGGATGGTAATTTATTTCCCCTTTTCTTGGCTGCATAATGACTGTGTTACTACGTCTTTTGTATTATCAGCAAAACCTGGTGCGTGCGTTGAGTAGCTGCAGAACTTAGTGACGTTTCTGAGCAAGGGGTGATAACTGGGAACACTTGGTTTTCAAACAAGCCAGAAATGTAGACTGAACTTAGTGTATCTGTAGCAGCCAGTTCTTCAACTTTTCGTGTTGTTGTTTGGTGGGTGTTCTGCTCTTCTGCAGGATTTCAGTTGCGTAGAGATGTTGGGCAGCTTGTAGCTAGAAGTCATGCCTGAAAGCTACATGTGCTCTTATTGCAGAGCTCAGTGTGTTGAGTGCTGCTTGTTATATGGGGCAAAATGCCCATGCAGCATTGGCCATCGTGCTTTGGGTTGGCCATCATGCTTTGGGTTGCAAGAAATCTTCAGACTCAGGCTAAGGGAACTGTGTTCCCTACTAAATGCTTCTTTTAGGGACGGACTATGGAGCTGAAGTCAAACGCAGTCAAGAGCTGTGTTAGCCTGCACGTGGAAGATAGTCATCTTTTGTTCTAAAGGCAGGATTGAGATAACTTGGCAATTTTGATCAGCAGCATATGCAAAGTGGGGGAGAGTTATTTTACAGTGTGGATCCGTCTTGTCACTCTTAGGCAGGCATTGCTTTTTTTTTTCAAATGTTTTGGAGAATTTGCTGCTCGTGTAAGAACGTGGGTGATCTTTTGACCAGGCTGTGGTTTGAGGCGGGCTGCCATGGTGGGGGCCGGGCGAGGAGACGAGCGGTCCTGCCTTGCCCGGGCAGCTGTGGGGTGCTCCCCTCCTCCTGCGCTGAATCGCCCTTCTGTCCCCGGCCCCCGGAGCCAGATGTCACTTTGCACATAAATTCTCAGTTTATTGTTGGCTTTCATGGGATTTGGCTGCAGCGAAGCGTTCAATGACGACTTTTCTGCTAATAGTGGTGCTGCTAAGTGCAGCGGGTCCTGCAGGCGATGCTGGAAGAAAGCACAGGAAGAAAAATGTTTCCTTTAAAATAAACCAAAACAAACACACCAAAACAACCCCCACCATTCTCAGACGAGAGACTAAAGTGAAGATTTCTGACATTTTCCTTGGAACTGTTTGTTGTCCTTAGAACAAAATGAGGGCTTTGCTCTTACTGTCATTGAGAAGTCTTTTGCGTGGACGCTGATAAATTTTGTAATTGTCTTGATCTCAGAGCATGTTTTGACTCCTGTGTGTTCCTCTCATCAAATCCATGCACCGAGGTGTTTTTTTAAATCCTAAATTCTTTGCAAAGTCAGACATGGAGTTGGAGTGGCAAGCTGGGAGCTGCCTGATGTGGAACCCTTTGGTCCTCGTGAGGAGCCTACTTGGGTCAATCGCATCTCCTTGGTGGTAGTTTTACAGCTAGCCTGCACAACTTAATTAGTTGGCTTTTTAACTTTTTTTTTTTCCTTTGTGGTTAATTTATTATTTGTCAGTGAGAGGATCACCACTTTATACACTTGAGGACATGCCATGCACTGGGCGAGTCGAGCCTGCAAGTCGAGCTTGTAGCGGTTTTGCAGACCTGAAGTCTCTGGTGGGTTGAGGATCAGGTCCATGGTGACCAAATGACATCGTAGAGGTCGTACATCCTCTGGCCTTTTGAGGTGACACTCCTGTGGGCTGTGGAAATAGAACCTACCAAAGCATCATCCTTTCGTCATTTTGTGATGTACTGAGTGTCTCTTGCTTTGACTGAGTATCTCTGATAAAATTTACAACCTTCTCACATTTCCTTTTAATTTCTCAGCATTCACCGTAACAGTATTTTGTGTGGAGTTCACAAAGAGGTTGGTAGATGTATTGTATTTCATGATCAGATTCCAAACTTCGTAGCTTTTCACTATTTTATATTTTTTTTCCTTTTGGCTACGTGACTTAGGATTAAATCTCATGTCTTCTAGTCCTTTCCAAAACCTTTTCGTAGTACTTCTGGGCTGAAGTGCTTCAAGGCAGTTACCGTTAAAACGAATGTTGTGGGAATCTCAGTATATTAATTGTCCACACGTTTTTCTGGGAAATGGAAATGGGGGAGCATAGCCCCAAAACACTAGGAAACAGGGCCCGTGGGCTTGATTGTATTCCATATAAAAATTTTGTTAATTGGACCTCTGCATCATTTTTTTCGTATGAGCTGCAATAGTTGAAAGAAGCCTGAGCAAAATAAAAAAATAAGATTTTGGTGGATCCAGAGGGCGTGTTTCTGTAACACTTTTCATGAGCTTTAGCAAGCGAGTGTCAAAACCTCGCCTTGAGTGGAAGCAGTACAAGGTAAGGACAGCTCAGATATGTGGGAGTAGCTGATGTTTGGCCTCTGGAGCCTCAGATCCAACGATCTGCCGACCGTTGCAAAGGTCCCCACCCAACCCTTCAGTATTCTTAGTTGTTGCACTTGAACTTCAGCACGGTTAATTTTTATTTTTTTTTTAAATTTGGGCTTAGTATGAGCCAATTTTTGTGTATAAGAAATAGCTGGCGTCTTTTGCAGAATAATATTATTCTGAAGAGTGGTGTAACTTCATTTTATTGCCAGCCACAGCTGCTAATCAACTCTTTATGGGTTTTTTAACCCACTAAATTAAAAACAAGAGTTGAAATGAAAACAGTGTGAAGCTGCTGAATTCTTTCTGAAGGACGGATGCTGTCTGCAATTTTTGCTTACATAAATCACACGTGATCGACGTTGCTGGCAGACCGGGGGACAGTTTAAAACCATGGCTCGTGCACCTCGCAGCTGGTTCTCCACCTTCCATGACTTGTCTTTCTGCAGCTGATTGCTCCTGCCTGTTTCGTTGTTTGGTGTTTTTTTTTTTTCTTTTTATTGCAACAACAATGTCATTGAAACTGCATTTTTTAAGCCCATATCTCATACTTAAAATATTCTGCTGCAAATCGCTCTGAAACCAGAGCGGGATGCCGGCTCCCCGCGGAAGGCAGCTGGGCAGCGCAGGAATTCAGATGTGAAGGAGATGAAAGTGCCTCGCTGCTCCGCGTTCCCCTCTCGGTTCTTCTGTGAACGACGAGCAGCTCGGATGAAAGACGCTGTGCCAGTAAAAATAGCTAATGCAGCGATAACGATACTCATAAATCATCCCATCGGATATTTTCCACTGCGCCGAGGAATTTTCCTTCTAACTAGTGGAATTTATTTATTTATTTATATTTATTTTAATGAACCAACGCTCCTAATTGCCGCTGCTTGATCAACGTGTTGGATGGGCTCCTGTCACCGGTGCAGCTGTTTCAAAGACTCCTTGGCTGAAGAGCAGATCGCCGCGCTGCCGGACAACCGCTCTTTCGTTTCGGTGTAGTAGTAATTGTGTTTCTGCAAGGAATTTTTCCTCCTCGTTTTTCTTTTTGCTTCTTCAAGGGCAATTATTTCTCTGCGTGCAGTGCTCCTCAAATTGCTGCCGGCTTTTGGGTCGCAGCCAACGTTACCAAAGGGTTTTGACGTTTGCGTGTGGTGGTTTTTTGTGCACCCAGCGTGAGAGAGATGTCTGGGTTTCTGCTTCTTCCGAGGGGGAATGCCAGCCGTTTTCTGAAGGAATGAAAACAGGCAAAGAACTAGGCTGAAACTTCCCTTTGGGATCTCTGATAAGAGCTCGTAGGGTGCGCTGGGTTTTCAAATGCTCCCCATCTCGGTCTGAGTGTCGCTGCAGAAACAGCCGAGGAGTTCGTAGGTCACCGCTGGTGCTTTTCCAGAACACGCAGTGAGAGTGGCGATAGCAAGGTTGTCAGTAAAAGCATGGAATAGCTTGTTCTGGCCACTTTCTGAAAACAGGCTGGAATCACCCCAAAATGAGAATGTTAAATTTGCCTCCACTGAATAGAGGTTACTTAATGTCCTTGGGCTACTTGGAGGAGTACAAGAGATCCTTTGTTCTTCTCCATGGCCTTATATTGATGTGAGAAGTTCGAGAAGGTCCCAAATGAAGGAGGAAGGATCTTCTGTCCTGCTGCTGCTTCTGTGGGGCAAAAATGATGGTGTTGAGAAGGGAACGTGGGCTGATCTCACCATAACTGCAGGATAGACTTTTGCTCCACATTTACAGATGTTCTTTGTTATACTTGTCTCAGAGATATTTTCACACACTTTGTGAGTCCACCCATGTAGTTCTTATGTGAGATCAGATTTTGCAGATGAAGGCCCTGAGGTTGGTTTGCTGAAGAGCAGATGTCAGTGGCCACCTTGGAGGAGAGCCCTTCATTGGGTGCTGGCACTAGAGCTGGTGTGGGGCATGGGTGGGCATGGCCCGAAGCTCGCCCCGAGGCTGTCTTTGTGTCCGGAATGCGGTCAAGAACGCTGGTTGAGTCCTGGGCTTCGGTCCCAGCAGCTTGGTTGCCAAAACATGGGGTTAGAGGGTTCTCTCCAGCTTGCTGCCTGGCCAAAGGGGAGAGCAGCTCCTGCCGTCACCCTGCCCTCACTACCTTTCTGCACTTGGACAACTTTATGCAACAATAAATTAAAAGTGACTGGGTGCAGACAAACCTCTATGGTGGAGGGCAGCTCCTTCTCAGGGCTGCTCCTGCCCAAGCCCCATCCTGCACGGGACGCCTGGAGCAGGCGTTTCTCCCTGCTAATGGGGCCCAGGGATAACAACCAGCAGACTGTCAGGAATGTCCTGCTGTGCCAAGAAAAGCCTACTCGGTCTAAATTGCCTGGTGTCCTATTTTAAGAGGTGGACGTAATCGCGCTGTGCTTTCTCACCAGCTTTGCTTGTCGTTACGTTCCTCTGCGATCTCGGCTGAAGCAGGAGGAGCTGCAAGGAGGCAGGTTGCTTGAATTCAAGATTTGCTGTTAAACTTGATAGCACAGCACACAGGTTTCCCAGCCTGAGCCTGCTCCGTTGGGGCTGACCCTGCTGGGTGCAGACCAGCAGAAGTCATGGAGCCCATGCTTGGTCTTGCTCTCCTCCTGCCCCACTGCGGCTTTTCTGTGGATTTTCGGCTCCCAGAATCAAGATGGGGCAGTGGATGCAGGGCAGGGGTGTGTGCAGCACGGAGTAGGACCAACCTGCTCCCGTGGTCTTGGAAGGTGCTTGTGGGTTCAGAGGTTGAACCACCACATCGTGTGTGTTTATGGGATAGAGGACTCAGTGAACAGGTTGCTCCCAGCCCTGGCTATGTGCGCTCATTCCCCTTCCAGCCTTTCTATGAGGGTCACTGGAGGAAGGAGAGGATTCGTTTAGGCAGCCAAGTTCGCACAGACCCCCAAACAATGTCAAATTGAGTCCTCGTTTCAGCCAGTGATCCAAGGGAGAGTACCGGTGGGTCCTCATGATATATTTGATCTTGATTGTCCTGGTTGCCTGACATGTGTTCCTCAGAGCACATTTAAAATAAACAAACAAGCAAACAAACAAAAAACCCAACCAAACTACTTTTCTTGGTCTTCTTGAAGACACTTAAGCAATGGCAGATGACTTCTGCTGGGGATTTTGTGTAGGTTCTGTCTTTGTGACAAGTCACTTCGATGAAGAAAAGTATTTTGTGGATTTCGGAGTATGACAGCTGGGGGAATCTTTTTTTTGTTTCCCCAGATGGAGTTCATTGGAGTAAGCCAGCTGTCATTCGTCCACGACCTGGGACCAAAGGGCATGTGAGTCGTGAGCTGTGGGTTTGCCAGTTGTGGTTCACCAAGAGCATGGCTTTGTAAATAAATATTGTTCAAATTGATAGCTTTCCTTTCTCACCAATAACTGACTGGGGAGTATTTTACCATCTGAGTATAAAAATGTATTAATGTTCAAACAGAACTGCTACAGCTTTGGGAATTAGTCTGGGGAGTGGTCTGCCCTGCAAGATGCGGACTGCAGCCCATCAGCTGGCTCATGAGGTTTCTCCCCTTCCTCTCCCTGCAACCTGTGAACCAATTTGTTCTCCTGCTTATGCTATAGAACAGGGCCCTGCATTTCCTAAATCTGCATGATTTCCTTCTGGGAGGGTGTTTTTGCCCCTCTTTCAGCTTTCAGGGCAGTGGTGCAGAGGCTACTTGGGCACGGCCAGAGGCACCAAGAGCCACCCCTGGGACCAGGGCCTGGGGGTTCAGCAAGCATCCTTCCTCCCAAGAGCTGCCCTGCACCTCCAGAAGAGCCGTGTTGCCTGTCCTGACCGTCCTTCTGTCCTTGCAGAGAAGGATTGATCATGAAGCGCTCCGGGGGCCACCGCATACCTGGCCTGAACTGCTGCGGCCAAGGAAGGATGTGCTACCGATGGTCCAAAAGGTGCTGCTGGGGTGGGCGAGGGTGGCCATGCTGTGTGCTCCTCAGGCACACATGCAAAAATCCTCATTTGTTTCTTTTTTTCTCCCAAAAAGTCTGTGAGGCACATTCTTGCTTTTTTACCAAAGCCACAGATTTTCAGGTCAAAAGGGTCCGTTGGTTATATCCTACTCGCTCTCCTGCGTGGAGCATGGTGGAGTTTTTTTCTTGTGCTTTGGAGTTCATACAAGGGACATATTGCTCCGGGGAAAATTGGGATTTCTTACAGCCTCAAGCTGGCAGAAATGGCAATCATCCCCAGCGGGTGCCCGGCTTTCCCTGCCGCAGGAGCGCCTGGGAGCTCCGTGCCTTCAGGAGGGAACACAGCTGGTGACACTGCCCCAGCCGGATTTCAGCCTGGTTTTCTGAGCTTCCCTTCCTCAATTTACAAAAAGAAAATCAGTTGATTGAAAGACTGTCGGGGCTGCTTTGGAGCTGGTTTAAATAACACACAACCTGCAGCAGTAAGGAGCTCTGGTGCAATTAACCTTGGAATTAAATATGTTGCCTCTTCCTTATTACTGCCCGTGCTAAATGCCAATGTTTTTATGGGAGTTTTCACAAGCCACCCTGTTCCCGCTGCAGACGGACATAACTTACTGTCCCCAACCCTTTACCTTCTGTGTTAGACCTCGGTGTTTCCTGGGGCTGCAGTGCCAGGAGGTGTGTGCTATGGAGGAGTATGTGAGCATCCAAACAATGTGAGGAGGTATTTCCTGGAGCTTATCCTTCCCGGGCAAATCTTTCCATTTGAAGATCCAAATAGCACATATCTGCCCTAGAGCAATGATTTCTTGGTCTGTAAGAGCTTCTCCAAGCATTATCCACCTTTGGATTTTAGTGTCACCAATGGGCTGTGGTTAGTTTTATCTTAAAAAATTCTGTTTCTCAACAAAATCTTTCTGCGTTTTTGTGAAGATCCTATTTCTTCATAGTCTTTGCAACATTTCTTAATGTAATTTTACAGAAGATCTCTATGATGAGTGTACAAGGAGATGAAGACGTGACCTTCTTTCAGGTCAAGTCATTAAATTGTCTCCAATTCTTTTTTCTCTTCAATGGAAAAAAAAAAAAAGCCTTTTCCTTTCTATACACCTCAGTTAACTCTTCCCTGTGTTATGCAGAGCTCAAGCATTAGTGGGGACAGTGGCACATTCAGCTCTGATGGATCTTAATTTTTCTTTAGAGCCTAAAAAGGGTGTGGGAGAAGCATATGCATCAAAAAATAGCAAATAACAGTAATATTTCCCAGACAGGGTTATTTAAGTGAAGGATTTTAGGACACATCAAGCTGGGGGCAGAGCTCCCCTGAGCGTGGGGCAGATCACGGTCAGCCTTTTTCTATAACAGCTTTGCTGCAGACGTTGGGTTTTCTATACTCCAGATTAATTTAACTTATTATGGTAGGTTGGGTGTGTTATCTCCACGGGGGCTGTGGAGAAGAACATGGAAGAGGATGGTGGGATGATGCCGTGAATGGACATGGGCAGGACTTCTCGGACATGCAGAGCTGCCTGGGAAAACCAGAAAGGGGAATGCTTGGAAATGTACCCTGCAGGATGTTTGGGAGTGAAATTATGGGCCAGGTAGGGAGCGGGAGGTATTCTGACACCAAACGAGAGGTGATGCTGGGATAACTCTTCCAGGGCCCTGAAAGAAATGAAAAAATTGTGGGATCTGGAAGTAGATGAGGAGCTGAGGCTGTTACTAAAGATACAAGAATGAACAGATTTTTGCAGTATTTTCTGTTGCTTTGTGTGTTTCTGAGCGTGCAGAAGAATGAGGCGAAGGTCTGGTGATGGAGACCTGTGTGGGACAGAGGGGGCCGGTTACCCCAGCTACGCTGCAGCGTGAGAAAAAATTATAAATGCCATTCACAGTACAAAATGTGGTGGTTATTTTGTTGTGTTTTTTTTTTTTTTCCCAGAGTTGCCTTCAGGCTACAGTATTTATGTAAAACCTGTCGGTCATCTCTCATCACGTGTTTCAAACAGGGTGCCTGTTGCTTGGCAATAAAAGCTTTCCAAAATGCCTCGTTCATATATTTTGATAGGAGAGAAAGTGATCCCAGCATCATAATTAATGTTAGAAATGTCAAATAATTCCTATATTGCCTCTAGGTATAACATACAAGCTGAATAAAATTTAGGGGTGGAGGAATCGTTGTTGGACCTTGCCCAGTGCTGGGGCACCTGGCTGAGAGAGTCTCACTGATTTCGTTAGACATGTGAGCCTATATTTTCAAAGATTTCTGTAAAAAGGAGTCATGCAAATAACTCTAAAAGTCTTATATTGTAGTCAAGCTCATTACCCAAGTTCATAAAATTGTTGCTTTTCTGCTCAAGAAAACCATTCCCTGGACTAGCCCCTGAAAAGAAATTCTGCCTTTTAGTTGAACGCTTTCCTCTCCCTGCTAAATGATTTGTATTTGTTTTGGAGGAAACACCTTTTCACTTTATTAGTTTGTTGTTTTTTTTATGGCTCGTATGTTGAAGACCAGCATGGGTGAAATACGAGTTACCTGGTCGCTGTGCCCGTGCAGGTGGCTGGTGGTGAAGGACTCCTTCCTGCTGTACATGAAGCCAGACTCGGGGGCCATTGCCTTTGTCCTGCTCGTGGATAAGGAATTCAGCATTAAGATAGGTCAGAAAGAAACGGAGACTAAATATGGGTTGCAGATCGACAATCTCTCTAGGTAAGAAACACAGTCTTTATTTAGACTCTTTTTTTTTTTATTCTATTTGCTTTTGCTTTTTTTTTTTTTTCAAGGAAGAATGGATGCCCCTCTCCAGGAGGGGTTAACAAGGTGTGCCGGGCTGACAGGGTGCAGCTCAGCATCATCTCTCAGGGCTCAGTACTTTGGGCACCTGCTGATGTGTTTATACCTGCTGGGGATTTGATCCATCCTTGTGGGTGTTGCTCAGGCCCGAGGGCACGGAGCATGTGGAGTTGCACAGTCTGGGTTTGCAGCAATCGCTTAGGGTAATTTATTTTCCTCTGAGCTGCAAGTGGGGAGATGTTCCTCTGCATCTCCACTGGAGCATTACCCCAAAGACACACTAGTTGGGTTAAAGAGGTATTCTTAATATTTTTATGGTAGCGTACAGTATAAATAGAGTATAAATTCATCTTTTAAAAAATACAGCATTAGCTAGGTCCAACTCTCCTCTGAGTTAAGCTGGTGCTATTAATTTAAATGTGGAGTATTCCTTTTTCTTTGTGCTTGGAAGTGCAATACTGCAGAGCAGCTCAGTGCTGGTTGATTCATTTGAGAACAAAACAACAAAGCAAAGTCCTTACTTTCTGCTTCAATAAAATATGATGGCAACAGGTGCATTTATCAGCATGCACAGAGGGCAAGGAACAGCCCAATTAGACGTCCGTGGCTTCAGCATCCTGCCCGGCGCCTCGTCTGTTTTACAGGTCGCTGATTTTGAAGTGTAACAGCTACAGACACGCGCAGTGGTGGAGGCAGGGCATCGATGAGTTCGTTCGGAAACACGGCAAGGACTTCCTCACCGAGCATCGCTTCGGCTCCTACGCAGCCGTGCAGGAGAACACGCTGGCCAAGTGGTGAGGACCGCGGCGAGGCTGCCACCGCATCGCAGCGCCGCGGGTGCCGCCACCCGCAGCGGGAGCGGCATGGGGCTCTGATAGGGAGAGCTGTTGGTGTTTGGTAGCCGTAGGGACTGATGGTAATTAGAGAAGTTGGAAAAAATGAGGCATTCTTCATCGGGAACAGAATGGCAGTACTGGTGACAGGAGCGCTTTGGTCCTGTTACAACTTTGCATCGCAGCTGATAGCGTTTTGAAACACCACGTTTTGTTTGAATTTGAACACGTTGGGTGTTTGTTATCCTAATGATAAAAATGGCATTTTGATGCACGTATAGTTGGCAGGGTGCTTGTGAGTTAAAGCCAGAACTGCTCTTTTGTTAAGATGTTCCTGGCTTCAGTTTTATCCCAGTTTCTGATTCTGGAAGTGCGGTTTCCCAAGGATTTAGGCCTTTGGGCTCTGGGTTGGAAGCCCACGGTAACACAGGTGCTATTGAAAACGTCTTTGGCTACTCCCTTCTCCATAGCTCCCTCCCAAAGCAGCTGTGCTGCAGCCTGTCCTGCCTGTGCTCCTCTGAGACCCATGGTCTGGTCATGCCCTTCGTTCTCTGAGATGCAACATACATCCCACTCGCCATGTTTGCAAGGCTCATTCTCATGCTCTAAGACAACGTCACCCTTCCAGGCACCACGGATGGGTTCAGAAGCAAAGGCCACTCCTCTGGTTGAACAGCAGCATCAGATCCAGGCCTTGCAGGTTGATTCTCTTTCATTGCAAAATCAGCAAACGCAAATTCGAGTGTAGTCTAAGAGTGGCTGGGCTTTATGCACACACAGCAGTCTCATAGCATAACCTGGTTGCACTAAGCCATTCCCAGAAGCACCTCAAAAAATTGATTTTAGCTGGAAGCAAACCCTTGCAGTGCTCTCATGGCAGCTTCTGCCTTGCAGCAACCACTGCCCAAATAGTTTCTGTAAATCCAAGCAAACATCGCTCCATCATCCTTTCCCGAGAGCCAAACCTAGCTGGCACATCAAGCGAAACCCAAGGATATTGTGTGCGGTTGGCAGAAATATCAAGTGGCACTTAATAGTCTCTTATTGTGCTGTTTCATTAAGCTACTAATAGCAGCATGAAATTCTCCCTGAGTGTTGTCCTAATTCTTGGAATTCGGTTTGTGTTTTCTTTTGAGAAAAGAATGTAAATGGCATTAACGCAGAATGCTGTCGCTCTTCAGCTATGGACTTTGTTTAATGAAGGGGGAGAAAACCTAAAGCCACGCGCTGTGTTTGCTTCTTACAGGTATGTAAACGCTAAGTGGTACTTCGAAGATGTCGCGAATGCCATGGAAGCTGCTAAGGAAGAAATTTTCATCACAGATTGGTGGTTCGTACTTAAATATTTGGATGTTGACCAGCCGTCTCTCTTGGGACATTCCCGACAACGCGGCACTGTTGGGAGGCCCTACAGCATGGCAACTCGCCGTGCAGCCAGATGGTTTGGCAGCACACCCAAACATCTCCTCGTGCTGTATTCAAAGGCCTTTTCAGGGGGGTTGGCAGCAAAAGCGCATGCTTGAAATCAACAGCTCGGTTGCCTCCTTCCAAGGAGAGGCCTGAAACTGCATGAAGGCACCACCCGAATTGCAAATGTTATGGCTTGAGGTGCTTATCAGGAGTGTAAATCGCAAATCGCTGCAAACCCAGGGGACAAGAATGTTTTTCAGTGTGTCAGGGAACGTGGATGCTCAGACACCTCCGACAGTGCCCTTCCCATGTGATCCTGCATGGGACTCTCCTTTCAGCTCCTCCTCGCCGTTTTGGGAAGCCTTGTGCCAGCGATGAGAGTGTCTTGGGGGGGTGCAATTTCGCTCTGCTCTGAAATGGGCCAGACAATGGAAGGGGAGTTTTGTCATCCCTTCCCTGAGCAGCGTGGCTGCCAAAGGACCTGGCTCTGCCCTCTTCTTAACTAATGATTCAGTATGTTTATGCCGTGCTCTGGTTCCTGCTTGAGGCAGAAAAAGGGCGCTTGCACAGGCTCGGGGCTGAGTTTCTTGGCTGGACGCCGGTTGCAGTTGCCTGTGTCTTGCTTTTGTGGAGGTTAATGTGGCTGAGCCAGCCTGGACCTTGAGGACAGGACAGTAGGGCAGGCTCCCAAGCCACAGCTCAGACGTCCTCTTTAACCTTGGGCACGTCTCTCTGCTCCTCTTTCTCCGTCTGTAAAATGAACCACTTGCTACTAATCCACTGCCCGTAGGAACTGGGAGGATTAGTTCTTAGGTGGCAATTATGAGAAAACTAAATTACCATGTTAGTGTTCCCAGGGGTAAACCTGTTTCCTAACGTGACCACAGATAAACCCGATACTCCTGGATCCCCACATGTAACATCAAATAGCAATGCAAGAGCATCGCGTTCCAGACCCATTGTCTCTTAACGTTTTATTCACTCAATTGCTAATGTATCTTGGAATTGCAAAACTTATCTTAAACTCCAAGTTACAGATAAAAAAGCTGTTGTCAGAAGTGTGTTTTTGGGACGTAGCCATATGCTTTAACCAAGCACAAGTTCCCATGCTCAGTACAAAAGTAAAGGAATGCAATTCTGTCACCGTCCTTTGCAGGAGTTGGATGAGATTGCTTAATTATTCCTTGAAATCCTTAAAGCTATGAATCAATAAAACGCCCTGTTGAGAGATCATATTGCTTTGTCTTTAGGCAGCAAGAAAAAATTCAGTACAAATCTATGCTACTCAGATAGGCTAAGTACCAGGAGAACTGAAATCCCACTCTCATTTATTTTTTATGTCTACACATTTCTTTCAAGTCTACCTTGGGGTTTTCTTTTGTTGCATCTTTCTTTCATAGATAGAGTCCAAGTTGCCCCATTTATACATCACTCTTAAACTTGGTCTCATGGGTTGTTGAATACTAAGATGCCTGAGCTGGACACATCTCTTGCCCTCTGTAACGCTCCGTTATTAAAAATCAAAGAGCATGATGTTGGAGAACGCATCACTCTGGGACGTGAGCCTTCACATCCACCTCTTATAAACTTCTTTATTTCTTTGCTTACTGAGTTGATTATTTAGGCCAATGCTTTGTTTGCAGACGACATATGTTGTGTTTTTTTCACCTCTTTATTTTCTTAGGCTGAGCCCAGAAATCTTCATGAAACGACCCGTTGTGGAAGGAAACCGCTGGCGGCTGGACTGCATCCTCAAGCGGAAAGCAGTAAGTGAGCTCCAGCTGCAACCTTCACCCTGCAGAAGGCCCCTTGTGCCCACCCAGTTATATGGTCATAGTGGGACTGGAGCCTTTGCACCGTTTATTTTGGTAGGCTTGAGAGTTGAAGCTGGCTGAGCCTGGCTTTGGGTGGCCTCAAAAAACAACATGTTTTGATTTGCTCCCCCGGTTTGTGTTTGGAAGAGCTTGGAGGCAGAAGGGTAGACTCTCTGATTTGCCCCTTCGAGTCCTCAGGTTTGGGTCAGTTCAGCCTTGTGTTATGACTGCCCCAGCTTCTGGTGGGGACAAAAAAAAGTGGTTGCTGCCTGGTGCTTTCTTTGTGGCATATGTAATTTAGAGGTATGGGAAAGACTAAGCACTTTGTGGTGGCTCTCGCTAGGTGGTTTGTACGTTACTGTGTTGTGCAGATCCTTCTGTCATTACCACATGTTGTGTGTCTGTGCTGCAGCTTTCAGAGTTGAAGCTGTGAAAGGTACTGTCAGTCTGCCAAGAAAATCAGGATGTCATTAGCAAATAAGTCACTCAGGATCATCCAGAGGTTCATGCTAACTCCCTATTGCCTTCTCATCTGTTTTCCATATTTGATACGTCTCGTAGGTCCTTGCTACAACTAAACACCAAAGAACTTGCTGTTCACCCACCATTCCTTGCTGTAGTAAAGAAGTGCCTGTTGACCTTAGACATCATCCTAGTGTCCCCCAGCCCTGTTACTCCTGGTAGAGCCCCTCTTGCCTTCATCCTGCCCAGACCAAGCTTCCCAAAGCTCTTCCTGCCATCGCTCTTGCACAGCTGCTACTGTTGGTGATGATGATTTTTAGTGGAGAAAAAGAAAGGGCAAAGCCCGAAAGGTTTTTGTGTTTTGTTATTATTATTTTTATTTCCAAGAGGAACTTATATTATTAGAAAAGGCTTTATTTTTTTTGGAGCTGCCTCTTACTACCTGTATGTCTCCTGGTTTTCTTTGTTCCTACCCACCATTTTCTATATTCTCATGGCTTTTGGGGCCACTAAGAGGAAGAAGCTGTGCCTCCCCGGCTCTCTATTCTCAGATGGAGGCTCTAGTCATGAGAGTCCTGGTGCATTGCTGCAGAAGAGGGATGTGGGGAAAGGGCTTCAGCAAAGCATGAAAACAAGTGTGCAAACACAAGCAGCATCACGCTCCCCAGAGCTGGGCTGTGGCATTCAACTTGTTTACAAGGAGGTGATAAACATGACTCGGAGACTTGGAATCCTGTTTGCATTGCCATGTTACCTGAGCTAATAAATGCTCGTGTTCAGTAGATAAATGCTTGTTTAAACTTAATAAGGCTTTTTTCCTTCTGTTTTAATTTCTCTTTCTCTGCTGTTCCTCCTGAAGAGAAAAGCTCAGACCCGCTGTTGACTCGGTGCCTTTCCTGGCGCTCCCGATCAGGATTCTCGTGCCAAGCTCTGTGCCGTTGCGTGCTCTCCTTTCTTGTGCAGCACTTGGAGATACGAGCAAGCAACCACAACGACTAGTTCTGTTTTTCTTTTCTTTAAGCGCTTTCATCTCAGAAAACAGTTTCTTTTGTTGCCGGTTGTACTCTGTGTTCCAGTAACGTGTCTGGGGCCAGACTGTAGAGAACATGTTTCATGGAGCCAAGCGAGTCAGACAGAGAAGCTGAGCGTGAGGTGTTTGTGAATGTGGGCTGTACTTCAGTTGTTCACCCAACACGTGGTAACACCGGCACTAGAAATGGTAGCGTGCTCCACGTGAGCAGTAAGTCAGGAACGGAGGCGTGGCCAGGGAAGTCTCTTGAACTCTTGATGTGGGAGCAGGGCAGGAGTCCAGGTGGACATGCTGAAGTAGTCTTTGACTCCTTGCTCTTCCAAACCAGTTGTCGTCACAGTCCTTGCCCCTCTGCATGCCTAGGAAAAAAAAAAAAGTTTTATGGGTCTGACTGTTGTTGATTTGGAAGTAGTCTTCTTTTCTGGTAGATGAAACATGGCCATGGGGCATGCTCACTGGGAGAATTTGGCTTTGTTTGTCGTGTTGACATGGATTTTCCTAGGGCTATAAATACCTTGGAAGAGCGAGGAATGTTTTAAGGTTAGTTCCTGGAAATACTTGCCGGCTCTCTCACTTGTGGCATTGCTCTGATTCGGTTGGCGAGCTGGTGTCTACGTCTAGGGCTATGTACAGTGCTGCCGTGGGCTCCTCTGGCTGCAGTGGGGAGGAGAATGTCATCCACAATTTGGCGACAGCTCAAGCTATCAGTAGCAGCTTCATGGAAATAGAAGCTTAAAAGGCTGTAGAAAGTTTAGGTCCCAAGTTTAAGCTTCACTGCAAGGTTTGAAGGCGTGCTGTTTTACGGCAGCTGTTCCAGTGTGTGGTCAGCATCTGCTGAGGTTTGGGAAGTGCTTGGCAGTTTTGAAAGTGCCTTAACAAGTGTCCTTAGAAACCCTCCTGTGGGCACTGTTCTAGTCAAGAAAAGCACCATCCTGTGAGCACTGCTCATTGTAATCCAGGAGCTTGTTTAGCTCTACCAGCAGAGAGAACTTGTTTGCTGGTGTTGGGTCAGTTGCATCCCCTTTAGGAGAGGGATGTCAGTCTGACCACACTGGTATCGTCCTGCAGAAGCTTTGAACTGTAGGCAAACCTCAGGGCAATGTGAAACAGCAGAAAAGTTGAACTCCAGTGGATGTGTGCAACACGGTTATATGTGGAGTGAATCACGTTTGCAAAATCATACCTCAAAAGATGCTTAAAAAGAGCTACTGTAAGAATAGCAGGTTGATGGGCTTTGGCATAGCTCAGCTCTTCACACACAAATCCAGGTATTGAGCCCTTCGCTGGAAGCTGAAGAGCTCTTCTGAGCAGCGCAGGTTCTTGCACGTTGTGGGACCACCACAGTGGATCTGGAAGAGTGTAATCAAGAACAAGCAACCTCAGCCTGTGTTTCTGTCTGCAGGCACAACGTGCTTGCTGCCTCTTAGCTTTTCCTTGCTTTGGAAATGGACTGTATTCACTGAAATACCTGCATATCATGTGTTTCTTTTTATTTCTGACAGCAACAAGGAGTGAGGATTTTTGTTATGCTGTACAAAGAGGTGGAGCTTGCCCTAGGGATCAATAGTGAATACAGCAAGCGGACGCTCATGCACCTCCATCCAAACATTAAGGTAATTAATTGCGCATCGGGCAGTCATATAAAGGACGTTTGCATTCATTTGCTCTCGATAGCTAGTATTGATCCCCAGTGTATTCGGGTGCGAACTGGAAGGACAGCGATTCCCACTATTGCAGTGGGAATAGTCTGAGAAGATGTGCCCATACGGTGGTTAAGGCATCTGGCAGCTTCATTTCTTTAGGTTATAATTGAACATAAAATTGCTTAGTTTAGACTTGCCAAAGCAACTATTCATCTAATTCACAAGAAACGTATTTCATGTGACAAGTTAATGGGGTTACCTCAGATGGAAAAGTACAATTTGAGAACGTTGTCTCATTTCAACATTTCTCTTCATATATAGGCAACGAGAGTCAATACTGGACGTTTATGTTCCCATCATAAATGCATAGCATTGCACTGTCCTGTGCTGTTTCGCTGCTACTGATCTGCCATTGGCACATGATGAGTGGTGGCACATGAAGCAGTAGATAGGGCTAGATCCGGTCTCTTGAAATTAGAGACATATACATTTTAATGAGCAGTAAGATATATGTTATGCATGACAGTGACTAACAAACTGCTAGAATAATAGATTTATTATCACTTGATCAATTGTCATGATGAAGGGAAGGAGCCATTCACCATCATCTTCACAGCAAGACTGGAAGGTGTAGCTGGAAGACACGCACTAGCTGTGTAGCAGGTTTTGGGAGCAGCCAGGTGAAACTCTGTAGCTTTTTACCCAGGAAGCTAGTCTAATGACTCTACTCTTAACATAAAAACATAAAAAAATAAAACTATATTCTGTATGCTTAGATATAGAAACTACTTTGCCATAAAGACATGTCAAAAAAAAATCTCAAACAAATGCCAAGCAACTTGCTGATTTTAAATGGATGAAAAACCGGCCAACTTCTCATTTCACTTATGTAGCAGCAACAACCAGAGAAGTGAGTCACATCACCAATATGTTGTTTTCTTTCAGAGCAGGCTCTGTGTTTGAAAGCTCAGCTATTATAGCTCTACCAAAAGCATGATTTTATTTGTTGAAATAGTTTCCTTGACTGTGGTCCTCTTATCAACACTGTTATAATCATGACCTATCCCAACATCACTGCTTGGGAATACCTGCATCATGGGATAGCACCTGCCTGCCAGTAAGGCTAAGCCCAACTCGGGGGGAGTCACATAGCTTCAGTAATTATGACAGTCTGTGTGGAGGCATCTTCTAAAAACTCCAGTGTTTCCCCATCATCTGGAGCAGCCAAAAAAAAAGCTGGGCAGCTCTTTGGCTGGAGGTGTACATCGGGCAATGACGCTGAGCTTGAGTGCTGGTTCTCTCCGCAGGTGATGAGACACCCAGACCACGTGTCCTCCTCCGTGTACCTCTGGGCCCACCACGAGAAGCTCGTCATCGTTGACCAGTCCGTGGCGTTTGTAGGTGGCATCGACTTGGCATACGGCAGGTGGGATGACGACGAGCACCGCCTGACCGACGTGGGCAGCGTCAAACGAATGGCGGCAGTGAAGTCGGTGTCGACGACCAACCTGGCAGTAAGTGAGGTTGCTGCGGCTGGTGGCCTCCTTCAACATCTGCACGTCAGGTTTGCGGTGGGGATGAACAAGCTGTGTCTGCTTCTAAACATAGGGTTGGGTTTAGGATGTTTAAAGAGGAATAGTAATGGGAAGGAGGAAGTACCTGAGCATCGCACGACTCTTTAGGGCTAGATCCTGACCAGCCCTCGCCAGGGCACGAAGACAGACAGCTGAGTTTCCCCTGGAGCTTGGAGCAGCCATCACAATTCGGAGGCTGCGTTCTTAAAACTTATATAGAAATGCACAGTAGGCACTCGCAGAGTGCTGCAAACTTCTGGGTACTCAGGTCCTCCGCAGGTGCCTTGCTTCCTGTGTTTTCTGCTAACCTGGATCTGTATGCATCCAGAAAGCTCAAAAAAATTTAAAGAGGTCTAAATTTATGAGAATTTCAAGGGTACTAATAATCCAGAGTAAGTTTATGGGGTTGAAATATGTCCTGCTAGCATTAGTGGGTTTTTCTGTCGAGTGCCTCCTCGATACAGACTCTCTCCCTCAAAAGCATTCGTAGTTACCATCGAAGTGTGTCTTTGTCACAGAGCAAAAGTTGGCTGGTGGTTGTTTCTGGGCATTGGTATGCATGATAATCTGTAATTAAAGGGGGACACATCTGACCATCACCTGCAGCAATGTCTTGTGTTTTTTAAGTCTGCAGCAGAGTCGTCTGAACATGTCCCTCTGCAATCTCAAGCTCTATCCCCAGAATGCCACTTGTTCCAGAGAAGTGCTGATGATGTCCCAGACACATCAAAGATGAAAGGAGTAGGAAAATCCAAAAAGTTTTCCAGGTTCAGTATTTACAAGCATCTCCATAAGCACGGAATGCACCATGCTGACAGTGTCAGCAGCATAGACAGTGAGTCGAGTAAGTAATGTTTTTCAACTAAACAACACATATGAAGCATGTGTGGAGGTGGGTGGGTGGGTGTACATGCAGATTCATATAATTCCTGGGGTATTGTGTTCTTTGTAAAGCAGGAAAGTTTGGTGAATTTCTTAACTATCAGAATAACAACTGCGTGTAGTCAATATGTAAATTTGTGTCACTGCAAAATATACAAGAGAAGCTTTAAGTTGATTTGCGTTTAGTTAATTAGCAATTGTCATGAGCCATCAAATGACGTGATACAGTGTACGTGATACTTAATGTTTATATTGCTGGGAAATTTTTGTTCTGCTAGGGAGAATTGAATCTTTCATTTTTCAGCTTGTATTTATTATAACAAGTGAGACAGTTTCTGAATGTGATTATCCCCTCTCATAGGCTAGTGTTACCTAGGTTTACATCAGTTCACTTAAATAGAAATATTCCAAATTTATCCAGTTACGAGAGAGGACAGACTATTCAACAGAATGCAGCTTTTAATTCCTCACATTAAAAGCAACTTCAAAGCCAAAATTACAAGGATCAGCTTGACATTTGTTCCAGCATGGAGTCCTTCCTGAAATTTGTTCCTGAAGTCCTCAGCTCCTGAAGATGTAAATTGCTCAAGGTGGGAACTTGAGTTTCCATCACTCCTTGCAGATCTTGCTCCTGCTCCTGGCCAGAGGAAGCCTTGTTGGAGCATCGTTTGCGTTGGTTGCAGTCAGTTCAAGACACAGCCATGGCTTTGCTGCTTCAATATATCTGTTTGGCTTAAAACCAGCTGGGTCTTGAATTTGGTCCTTTTCTAGTTTGAGTAAAGTGTCATCAGACAGGATCAGGCACTAGCGTAGCAGAAGTGGACGTGCGTTTTTGCCATAAATAGAGCATCTTGACTTTCTGCAGGTTACTGTAACCCCACTAGAAGTCAACCGAATATAATCCAGAGTTTAAAGCCCCATCTGAAAATGTTTCATCACCACAGTGAATCCAAACAGGGGCTCACTGAGCCTCAGGAGGGTAAGTGGAGGAAGGCAGAGGTGCAGACCCCTTCAGGCTTTAGCTGCTGATGTTTTTGCGTTGTAACAATGGTGAGAGTTGAGTTGGGTGCCAGGATCAGCCTTTGCTGCTTGTTGTTCTCCCAGTGTCCTTAGCACCCTGCTGAGGACAACCTGGCAGAAGAGCCTTCTCCAGAAGCAACAAAAACTGCAGCGTAAATAAATAATGATTAAAAACAAAACCAAAAAACAAACGAACAAAATAAGGCAAAAAAAAATTCCAACAACAACCACTCCACCCCAAATGAAAAACCCAGACCAATTTGCAATAACGTCAGCAGGGAACAGTTGAGGAAATTCTGATTCTGGTATATGATTATTTCGGCAGCTCCCTTCCTGTAAAGAAAGGGGCTTATTACTGAAATTGGGAACTTCTGCACTGAATATTTTAAAATAAGCCTGATGCAGGAAGACAAATGCAAACAGAGAGAGGAAATGGCAAAGTGGTTGTTGCAGTACGTTTGGATGAAGACTTGGGGGCCTCCTTTCTCGCCTTATTAAAGTCAAATCAAAACATATTCAGTTGAGAAAGCAGTTGGGTGGTTATGGACACTGAGCTGTTCTGAGCTCTGGACCCATGTTGAAAGGGTCTATTTCAGTATGGTACCACATTGAGATGCCTTTGAGTGCTGGTACAGAGTGAGGAGAAGTTCAACATCTTCCTAATGTCTTCCTCCAAGGCATTAATTGCCAATTATAAAATACTGGATACTAAGTAGTGGCAGGTAACAAGGAAGAGATGCATTCGCTTCATGGAAATGAAGTGTGGTCTCCCCTGTGGTCACCTCATGCTCATTCATGAGTTGATGTGCAGCCATCGAAGCTTGGTACGTGAAGTGTTTTAGCCAGGTGGCATGGCCCACCCATTCCCATTGGAGCATGCCGAGACAGCGATTCCCCAGCTCCACCTGGACTCTCACTAGAACCTCACGCTTCCCAAGGCCGCATGGCATTTTTGGCATGGCATGGCTTGGCTCGGCTCAGTGGGGTGACAGCAGTGCTGGCAGGGCTTGCTTTGTGTAAACTGGTCTTGTTGCAGCGCTGCCAATGTGTATTTTGTTGACTGTTGAAAGGGTTTGTTTTTTTTTGTGCTAAGGGGTTTTCATGGTTACCTGGTGATGTGGTTGGGTTACGAGAAGGCTTCTGCTGTTGGCATGTGACTGTGTAATTATCACACTAGTGTTTGGTACAGTAGATGAAGGCAGCTCTCAGGGTCAGGAAATAATGCTATTTAAATGTTCCTGGTCTTTGCCAACATTTTTGATTTTTCTTAAGAGTGAGGAAAAGGAGTTTACTGCACCAAAATATGTGCACTACAGAAGGGATCCTATTAGGAGGGAATATCCCTGTCTACAGTATTTTAGACCAGTAGGTCTAAAATAGATTTAGATCAGAGGAGGGCCACAAAGATGATTTGAGGGCTGGAGCACCTCTGCTATGAAGACAGGCTGAGAGAGTTGGGATTATTGAGCCTGAGGAAGAGAAGGCTCCGGGGAAACCTTCTAGCAGCCTTCCAGGACCTAAAGGGCCTACAAGAAAGCTGAAGAGGGACTTTTTACAAGGGTGTGTAGTGACAGGACAAGGGGCAATGGCTTTAAACTGAAAGAGAGGCGATTTCAATTAGATGTAAGGAAGAAATTTTTTACAATGAGGGTGGTGAGGCACTGAAACAGGTTGCCCAGAGAAGTTGTGGCTGGCCCCCCCCCGGGAGCGGGTAAAGGACGG